CTCCTCGTTCCTACGTTAGTTGTCATTTTGCGTGCGTGTCTGTTTCGACTCGGCTGGATGGCTGCATGGGTGAGTGGATGAGTGGGTGAGTGGATGGGCGACTGACTGGTCTCGCTGGCTGCGTGTGACAGATGGATGGTCTCTTTTAGTACAGAGTGTAGTCCTTTCGATGCGATAGAGACGGACATACACACGTGTATGTTAACATGGACCACATCAACGCATTGGTGGTTTTGCAAGTCTGACAAATGAGAGGGGAGAGGGGAGGGTTGGCCGGGCGGGAGGGCGGGCGAGGGATAGGTCGGTTGTCTGCCAGTGAGCATTGTGCAGTGAGTGAGTGAGTGGGGGGGACTGGGGAAGGGTTGGTGTGATTAGTGCAGTGCGTTCGTGTGACAAACCCCCCGTGAGGATCTGATAAAGATCTTTCCAATCCAATGATTCAAATGTGACAGAAAGCGAGACGGGAGTGCATGCAGTGCATGTGGGCGGCCCCCAGCGCAGAGATTCTTCTGGCAATCAGCAAGCAATATGGGCTCTCTTGCAAGGAGTGCCTGCAGCGCCTTGGCAAAGGACGACAGAGGGATGCGCCATTGGTGTGCGGAGGATCTGGCCGCATGGCTCAACGACCTGCATCTTCCGAGCGGATATGCCGACAGAATCAGGGTCAGGGAGAGCGGCGACAGCTAGGGCGGGCTGTCCCACTCTGTGAATGGATCGTCTCTTGTGTATTGATTGCAGGCAGCTGGCCTGGACGGGCAGACGCTTGTCACGATGGACAGGGAAGCTCTGGCAAACATCCTTGGCATCACGCACGAGGAGCATCTCACGGTCATCCGTGAGCACATCCGCCGCTTCTTGCGCAACGAGCGCACCAACAGCCCCAGACCTGCCGTCCTCACCCCAAGACAACAAACAGGTCGTCTGTCTGCACTCAGCTGCACTGAGACACCTCGCATTCTGTCTCATTACATGATTTGATTGCAGGGGGGAGTCGCGCACTGAAAGCAGTGCCGTCGTTGAAGTTCGACAGGCTGCACAACCACCTCACCTCCCACCACCACCCGGGGCCGCCCCCCTTTGTTCCGTCCATAGCGCTGCCTGCCCCCCTCCACAAGACGCGCCGCTCCTCGTCGGCCGGCCCCAAACTTCTCAGGGACGCCGCAGCCGCACACTCTCAGCTCACATCGGCCAATGCCAGCGTCGAGGGCTCTTCTTTCGCGTGTCCCGACTCGCCTCGCATCAACAGGCGCGTGTCTCGCACTGGAGTAGGGGTGGGAGTGGGTGGGCATGGGCATGGGCATATGTCGGTGAGCCTGCCGGTGACGGCAGGGGGCTTTCCCCCGTATGGTCAGCACAGCTTGATGGTCACTCCGACCACTGCGCGGCTGTCGAGGCTCGTTTCCATGCAGAATGACGCGGTCGGTCGGTGGCACAGCACACGAGAGAGGATCAAGAATACCCACATGGCTCTCATTCTGTGTGTGTATGGAGTGCAGGCGAGTGAGTTCGGACTGCCCAAGACATCTGACTCGTTGCGGGGATCGTTTGCGACGTCACGGGGGCGGCTGGACCCCCCCGTCCATCCTCTTGTCCCCACACCAGGGCCGGCCACATACGCCAGGCCGGGCAAACGAGTGAGTGGACAGACAGGGGAGACATGGGCGCGCGCACGGGGACAGAAACGAAACTATGTGCGACTGTTGTGTCGATAATGCAGCCGTGGGACTACAAACCTCAAACGGTGTTCATTCCTTACGAGAAGCGCAACACGATGGCCTTCTTTCTGGAGGAAATCGACCCATCGGGCGGACCTGGTCAGCCAGTGACGGACGTCTCGCATTCGTCTTTTCATCCCATACGCACCGCACCATGCATCTGTGTGTGTGTGTGTGTGTGTGTTTGTGGGTATTTTAAGGCGTTGGCAAATACGAGGGGCGGTCCAGCATCTCGTCCAAAACGAGTAGGGTCGAACGAGTTGGTGAGAGTCCCTCTCCCTCCATCTCCCATTTCCCTTTCCCATGCATGCAGAGTCGGTTGTGGGGGGTGCGATGCCCAAGTCGGGCAGATATCGAAAGAAGGTGAGACGCCTAGTTGTCGAGTGAAGGCCACGTCCCTCTCTCTCTCTCTCTCTGTGTGTGTGTGTGTGTGTGGTCTGATAACATAGGATCCGGTGACGCGTGAGTACAGCCCCGGCCCGCAGCAGTATCGCCCGACGTGGTCGGGGCTGTCGACATTTCGTTGATGAGCCAAAAGGGTGGATGCATGACATGACAAGGGGTGAGGGGTGCGTGTGTGTGTTGTATTGGCTGGACCGCACCGCCCCGCACCGCACCGGCTAGTAGGTGGATGGATGGATGGACGAATGGATGGACGAAGGTGCATGGCATGGCTTCTTAGGGAGAGTGATTGAGACACACAAACGTGTGTTGATGATGATGAATGTTGATCGTATGGGTGGGTAATATGCATCCACGGAGTGAGTGAGTGGAGTCCTCACGCATCCATCAGTCAGTCCATCAGCTTATCCATCCATCCATCCATCCGCCCTGTCTTTACATTCTCACGCCCAGCCAGCCACTAACCAACCGCCTCTTGTGCGTGTCTGTCTGTCTGTCATCATCACACAACACCTCTCTCCTCATCGATCCATCCATCCATCCAACCATCCATTCATCCGTCCGATCATCAATGCATGGCTGCACGTGCGTCGCCTCCCCCTCCCTCTTGCTGCTGCCTCCGCGATGCGGACGGCCGCCCCTGCCGAGCCGGTGAGTAGTCCGGCGGCACCACAACCGGCCGGGCGGGAAGCAGATCTGGGTTGATGGGCGACATGTCCTTCAGGTCACCTGCACCAACCAGACAGACAGGGAATGCAGACAGCGCCGCGCGTGTGCCTGTACTCACCGCATGCTCGCAGGACGTGTCTGTACTCCTGGCACACTGAGCATGGGAGGCACATGGCCACGACGCAGATGTCGTCACACGAGTCGGTGGAGGCGATGTGGAACAGCGCCCGGATCTCCTTCCGGTACCACCAGTAGGCCAAGAGCGAGATAACCCCCAGGGCGTTCATGCAGATCACCAGCACCACCCACAGCCACCCCACCCCCCACCGCCAATTCACCTCCACATACGTCTCCTCGCGAGATACATCGGGGCCACCGCTCGTCCCCCAGGCCACTCCGATGAACGAAGGCGATATCGCCCCCATTTTGGACGGCGTCTCCGGCTTGAGCGGGCCTGGCTCCTGTCCCTGTGTGTCAGGATTGCTCTCGATGATGGGCACCTTGAGGGACTGCCGGGGATGGGGGGAGGGGGGGGGGGTTGCTGGGAGGGTACCGTTTGTAGTGGCTGGGACGGTGGACTTGACCACAGGGGGGACGTAGGGGTTTGGCTGGCTCGTTTGGACTACTCGCACAAAGGGGCCGAGGTCTAGGATCAGACCGACCCTGCAACACATGCAGCCCATGCAGATGGATGGCATGGCATGGCATGAGCAGCATAGCATGGGGTCGGCTCGACCTTTTCCTCTGCTCACATGATGACGTCGAAGCAGAAGGGGAGGAAGAACAGCAGCCCGAAGAAGGCCACGCCTGACACGACACGACAACAGAAATGCGGACCGCCAGCAGCATTCATCGTCATCATGGCTTTCTTCTTAGTACCAAGGATGAGCTTGAGATGTCGCGTCTTCTCGAGAGTGACGGCTTTGAGAAACCAAAAGCAGCAGAAGGTCCCGAGCAGACAGCTCATGGGGTGGCGAAGACAGCTGCAGCAGCAGGAGAGACAGAGGCGCAGACACACCAGACGAGACGTCGACCTGATTTATCCGTGCGTGTCGACTTACCTGAACAGGCCATCGGACCACTGCCCGCTCCACTCCCGGATGTTGATAACCACCGGCATCAAAGGAGGCTGAGCCACTGCAGTCAGTGCACCAACACACCGACAGTGCAAATGGCAATACACTGCAATGGCACACTGCATAGTGACGGCACTAACGTGTGCAGGCAGTCCAATCATGATCAATCACCTGTTCCGTATGTGGTGTCGTAGGAGGCCTGCAGGGGCTCCCTGCTGCCTCCTCCCGCAGCCGCCGCGGCAGCACCCTCAGGGGGAGCCTCTGCGTCCGGCGCCATCATTGCGTGACGAGGAGGGAAGGAGAAACCGACCGAGTGATACAAAATGGAGAATGAAGGTCGGGGGTCGCGAGCTAAGCTCGCAAAAGGGGGAAGGGGTCAGGACGTCCAGGCTGAGGCAGGAGGCAAAGCGGCATCAAGGATCTCTGTGCGCGCAGCTGGCTGTCAAGATTTGGCCTTTTCTTTTTCGTCATCCGCGAATCAGCAAGATCTGGGAGATCACCGCTGACAGGGAGAGGGCGCGAGAGCATCCCGCCGCCGCAGGAAGCGGCGCTGTGGCAGCCACCGCAGGCAGCCACCGCTGCCCAGTACACTCAGACGCGAGCTGACTGACCTTCCGGGATGGCATTCAAGTCGTCCAACGAGCAGCTGACGGTAAGCAGACCAGGCAGAGAGAGATACCGGTATCATTCAGCTGATCCATAATCGGTGCTGCCTGGTGTGTTGTGTGAACTCATCAGCAATTTTTTGTCAAGTTCGCGCACAAGAGTAAGCGCATAGCACACCCTGGAACACGCACACACAACGCTCCCACGTCTGTCTGTCTGTCTGTCTGTTTAGATCTGACTCCGCGCGAGATAGCGCAGTATGAGCGGGAGCCGAGTCAGTACCGGCCGCCGCTGCTGGGCGGCCGGGGGGTGATATCATGCAACAGGGAGGAGTGGGTGCAGATCAACTCGGTGCTCGAGACCGAGGCCGCACACGGCAACAACAACCCCTTTACGCCATCCAGACGGGGAGCGGCGCATCCGCTATTCTCGACCATGACGGCAAACGTACGACGGACGACAGACAGACAGACAGACATAGACAGCATGAGAGCATTTCTGTGTGTGCGTGTTGTTGGTTGTAGATGTTTTACGACGTCTTTTGTGAGAATGAGTATCGGCTGACGTCCAGCTCGTTCCTGCGGAAGCTCAAGCTGCTCCTCCAGTCAGACAATCTGTCGAGCGAACGAGCAGAGGTCAGCCAGACACAGCACAGCACAGGAGGGCGCGTGTCTGGCCGTACTCATTGAACACTGTGTGTGTGTGTGTGTCTGTCTGTCTATGGTCGTCATCATGATGATGCAGTTGTGCTTTCATTTCTACGGCGGCACCAAGAAGGACGGCCTGCAGAAGTTCCAGCTGCTCAGCCGACTCAACCTCATATTTCACAGACTAAGGGTCCGTCCGCTCATAAACACTCACACATCCCACGATGCGCATCTGTCTGTCATCCATCCATCCATCGGTCAATCCATTGGTCAATCCATCCCTTGTCAGGCTCTGAAGATATCCCCCGACCCATCCACGACAGACCACCTCAAGGCGCTCCTCTCACAAAGGGTCTGCCAACGGGAGGGAGGGAGGGAAGGAGAGCAAGCCTCGGAAGGGTGTATGCATTCTCTGTGTGCGTGTTGTGTGTGTGTGTATCAGGATTTGGACAGTTTCAAGAGCCCCGAGGAGTTCCGCGCGTGTGCGACGAGGTGGCTGCCGGGCCTGCTGCAGGCATTCGGACTATTCGACCGAATCGCCGAATCGGTAACCAGCAGAGCGAGGGAGGGAGGGAGGGAGGGAGCACTGTTTTCCATGAACGTGGATGCGTGTGTGTTGGTGATGTCAGCTCAAGTGGCTGCTGGACCCTCATGGAACAAACTCATCGGAGCCTTCATCGGCCCTCTCCGCCCACCACATCATTCCCGCGCCCATCGTCAACATGCCCGGCTACGCCATCAACGTCAACCAGAAGGGGTCGTTCTCCCAGCCGTCGCACCTGCACACGCCCCCCACACACGCAGACTCCCTCAGTCTCAGCACCGCCACGCCCCCCAGCACCACGCCGATCCTCACGCCGCCCGAGACCCCCCCCTGTGGCCGAGACGGCTTCTATGGTAGACCTGCCTTCGTCGCTTCCTCGCCATCGCCCCCAGTGACCCTCAACCTCACCGACAGCCCCAAGCACCCCCCACCGTCCCCCTCCACCTCTCGCCAGCCAACGGCAGCGGCACGCAAGGCGACCCCGGCTCACTCATCGTCGGCATCATCGAGCGGCGTGCCGCTGATGAACCCGATGCTGCCCCAGAGTCTGCCGCCGCTGAGCAGTGTGGGCCCGGCTGAGTGCATGAGTGCACCGGTGACGCCTAGTGGGGGCGGGAGGGGCGGCGGATGGTGGACTGCTGGTGTGGGCGGCGGTGTCGGTGGGGTCGGGGGAAGACCAGCCGAGGGAGGAGGGCAGCCATTCGGCGTACCGCCGGTGAGTGCGTGAGTGTGTGGATAAAGAGAAATGTCTCGCTTCACTCCAAAGGTGAGTGCTCTCTCCCTCTGTGTGTGTCTGTGTGTGTGACAGCAGCCGGCTGCTGGTGTGGGTGTTGGTGTGGGTGTGGTTGAGGGCAGTGTCGGTCGTGAGGCGCCCGAGGACAAGATCAAGAGCCTCCAAAGAATGGTCTGCATACTCTACAACGAACTACAAAACATCAAACGAAAGGTGCACACAATGACCCCACACCATCCAGACCACCGCCCTTATTGAGCCCTCTGTCTTGTCAGGACGCCTCGAGCGACCCTTCCTCCTCCCACCCAATGGACGTTCCCCCGTCGCTATCAAATCTCTCCGGCCCACCATCACCACCAGGAGGCGAGCACGACGCCACATCCATGATGCGGTCGGTCGTCGACATGATCAACAGCGCTCCCCCGGGCACATTCCGCCAGCAGCTTTTTCCGGGCGGTGGGGGTGGGGAGGGCGAGATGGGGGGCCTGCAGGCTTTGCTCAGCAGCCCCCACATGAAGCAGCTGCTCGAGACGGCCATGGCCATGCACGGACAGGGGCAGGGGGGCGACGGTCCAACACCGTCCGATGCGCCACATGCACCCTCCCAGCAGCAGGCGACGGACCCGCCATTCGACCCGATTGGTCAGAGGGGCTCGGCGCATCAGTCTTCTTCTGAGCCGATGGACTACTCCATCCATCCCGGTGGGGGGGCCAACGAGTGGGCAGACGGGGACGGGGATGGGGATGGGGACAACGGCGGCGGGCCGCCCCCTGTGTTTGGGCCTCACTTCCCCAGCAACCAGTATGGCGACTTCCTGGCTGACCCGCTCCACGAGGGGGAAGACCCGCAGGGGCCCAGAGGGGCCGGGTGAGTGACATGACACACCACACCACAAATGCACGGAGGACGGATGGATGGATGGATATGTGTTTGTTTGTCTGTGTGCGGTTGTGTCAGGTGGGGTGACGAGATGTCGCTGTCTCCCTTGCCGATGCAGCTGGGGGAGGGTGCGGGTCCGCCCAACCTGTGGGACCCGCCCAACATCGGGGACAATTGGAACACTCAGAACGACTTCTGAGAGAGGGAGGGACGGTCGGATGGCGTGGATTTTGTCGCGTGTGTGCATTCATGGGCCGACGGATGGATGGTTGGGTGGATGCCTATATGTGTCTGGGTATGTGGGTGTTGCCGCGTCGTATTTCTTTTTCCATCTTTTCCCGTCTGTACGTGTGTGTGCGTGTGGGTGTGGGTGTGTTGGCGTCTGCCAAACGAGGCATCGGGTCCCGTCCTTTTGTGGCTGCAAATTGGCTGAATGCATACTAATGCATGGAGCAGAGGATGGCACTATTGACGCCATCATCCTCTCTCTCTTCTCCCTTCTCTCGTCTCTGTCTCCCTGTATTATGATTTTAAGGAGAGATCATTTGTCGCTCGGTCGGTCAGTCGAACGGAAGAACTTGTCGTCGCGTGTTGCCCGTGTGCGTCGTGGAACGTCATTTTGTCGTTTTGCCTCGTTCAGTCGGTCGCGGGAGAGAGACAGTCTGTCTTCTATGTCTGCCTGCCTGCCTGCCACCAGTCTATGTCCTTGATGGGGTCGTCGGGTTTGTGGGGGAAGCCTGAAGCATCCATCCATCCATCCATGCATCCATCCATCCATCTCCTCTTTCTGCCAACATGTGTGTGTGTGTGTATGACACGTGTGAGTACATACGTACGTCGGTGCATGCATACTGACTGACACGCCATTTTTGCCCCATGCACTCAGTCACTCACTCACTCACTCATCCACCACTCACTCACCTCATCCGTCCACACACTCACTCACTTCATCACTGTCTGTCTCTCTGTCTATGTCGAGCCGTCGTTTGTCGTCGGTCATGTGCTCCATGTGCACACACTTGTCTGTCTGCCTGTCTGTCTGTCTGTCTGTCTCGCTGTCTCGCTGTCTGTCTGTCTGTCTGATGGGGTGTGGGCCGGCCGGCGGGATAGTCCGCCCGTTGGCTGCAATGAGTGTCTATGTCAATGTCAATGTCAGTGCGTGCGTGAGTATGAGCGGTATATGGGATATGGGATGCCACATATCATTGCAACACACGTGACTACGCTGCTGTGTATGAGAGTGAGCGAGTGGACCGGAGCTAGTGTGGACAATTCTGAGGGGGCTGGGCTCCTCTCTTGGTCGCATGGGTGGGTCGCTGGTGTGGTTGATAACTCAGGTGGTGCGCCACACCACACCGGCCGCCGAGGCAACGATTGATGCCGCTTCCCTCGAGCGCATCACCCAGCAGCCAGCACGACGATGCGCCGATTTTCTAGAAGGCACTGCTGCTTGCTGGCAGGCGATGGAACAAGTCGCATTCGTTGACAGTGCTATGTAATGGCCTTGTGTGTGTGGGGGGGGGAGAGGTAGGTCCATACGGAACTAAACCAGTGAATGTAATGTGTGTGTCTGCAGTGGGGCGGTACATACCTACTCTTCCCACGCGCACACACCGACGTCCTCACTAGGCGATTCGTCCACGGCACAGCCATCGATGCATGCATCCTGGCTGCCCCTTTTCAAAACTCTGTATGGGTGTGCACGTGTCTGTGTCCGTCGGTGACTTTACACTTTGATGTTTCATCCTTCTCGTCACAGCCTGCCTGTCTGGCTGGCTGGCTGGCTGGCTGCGTGTCTGTCTGTGACCATGCTCCCACACATCTACAGACGAGTACGATATTTGTGAGGGATAACACTGCCTTGAGGGAGGGAGGGAGGGAGGGATGGGGG